GTTTATTGTCACCTGGAGGGGGACAGGGACAGGTTTATTGTCACCTGGAGGGGGACAGGGACAGGTTTATTGTCACCTGGAGGGGGACAGGGACACCTGGGTTGTGGTCGGGGTCTGTCTGTCCATGGGAGTTCCAGTTGTGCCCAGGTGTGTCCCAGGTGTGCCCTAGGGCAGGAAGCCCAGGTGTGCCCAGGTGTCCCGAGGTGTCCCCAGGTGCCCCCAGCTGTGCCCAGCTGTGCCCTAGGTGTCCCCAGGTGTCCCCAGTCCCCCCCAGTGTCCCCTCTGACCTGGAAGTGTCGCTTCCCCCAGGTGACAACGACCGGGCCACCGGAGTCACCTGTGGGGGGAAACTGGGATGGACTGGGAGGGACTGGTTCATATTTGTTCTTACTGGTTTATACCATTTCATACTGGTTCATACTGGTTTATACTGGTTCACACTGGCCTGTACTGGTCCATACTGGTTCATACTGGTCTATACTGGTCTGTACTGGTTTCCAGTGGTCCGTACTGGTTATACTGGTTTATATTGGTCCATACTGATTCATACTGGTTCATACTGGTCCGTACTGGTCCATGCTGGTCCGTACTGGCCCATACTGGTTTATACTGGTCCGTACTGGTCCGTACTGGCCCATACTGGCTTATAATGGTCTGTACTGGTCCATACTGGTTCCCACTGGCCCATACTGGTTTATACTGGCCCATACTGGCCCATACTGGTCCATACTAGTTTATACTGGTCTGTACTGGTCCATACTGGTTCCCACTGGCCCATACTGGTTTATACTGGCCCATACTGGTCCATTCTGGTTTATACTGGTCTGTACTGGCCTATACTGGTTCACACTCGTTTTTACTGGCCCACACTGGTCCATACTGGTTCGTACTGGCCCATACTGGTCCATACTGGTCTGTACTGGCCTATACTGGTTCACATACTGGTCTGTACTGGCCCATACTGGTCTATACTGGTCCATACTGGCCCATACTGGTCCATACTGGTCTGTACTGGTCTATACTGGTCCATACTGGTCCATACTGGTTTATACTGGTCCGTGCTGGCCCACTGGTCTGCACACTGGTCCATACTGGTCTATACTGGTTTGTACTGGTTTGTACTGGTGCGTACCGGGGCAGGCGTTGGGGTCCACCTGGGGCTCGTGGCCGCCCGAGCACAGGAAGCGCGCGGTGACAACGTCGGACACGGAGGTGACATTGGCGTAGGGCGGGGCACGGAGCGCGTCCGCCTCGCACGGACCCCGCTGGGGACACACGGGGGACAGTGAGGGGACATTGGGGGCAGTGGGGACACACAGGGGACATTTGGGGACACACAGGAGACACTGGGGACACTGGGGACACACAGGGGACACTGGGGACAGTGGGGACACACGGGGGACATCGGGGACAGTGGGGACACTGGGGACACACTGGGGACACTGGGGACAGTGAGGGGACATGGGGACATTGGAGACACACAGGGGACACTGGGGACACACAGGGTACAGTGGGGACTGTGGGGACACGGAGGTGACATTGGCGTAGGGCGGGGCACGGAGCGCGTCCGCCTCGCACGGACCCCGCTGGGGACACACGGGGGACAGTGAGGGGACATTGGGGGCAGTGGGGACACACAGGGGACATTTGGGGACACACAGGAGACACTGGGGACACTGGGGACACACAGGGGACACTGGGGACAGTGGGGACACACTGGGGACATCGGGGACAGTGGGGACACTGGGGACACACTGGGGACACTGGGGACAGTGAGGGGACATGGGGACATTGGAGACACACAGGGGACACTGGGGACACACAGGGGACAGTGGGGACAGGGAGGTGACATTGGCGTAGGGCGGGGCACGGAGCGCGTCCGCCTCGCACGGACCCCGCTGGGGACAAGGGACAGTGAGGGGACATGGGGACAGTGAGGGGACACTGGGGACAGGGAGGGGACACTGGGGACGCAGAGGGGACAGTGAGGGGACAATGGGGACAGTGGGGACACACAGGGGACAGGGAGGGGACACTGGGAACACACTGGGGACATTTGGGGACACACTGGGGACATTGGGGATACTGGGGACAGTGAGGGGACACTGGGGACGCACAGGGGACATTTGGGGACACACAGGAGACACTGGGGACAAGGGACAGTGAGGGGACACTGGGGACACACAGGGGACAGTGAGGGGACAATGGGAACACAGAGGGGACAGACGGG